GTGTTAAGTTCGTAAGGTTTTAGCTCAATTTACTTTATTCTTAAATTCTGTTAATTTTTGCTTCAATAAATTCTGTGTTTCATTGGAATTTGATGTTCTGCAGTTTCATGTATGGATTACAAGTTGCATAATCTAGATAAAATCTGAAGTCTGACGATTTACTATTTGGTTGCTGAGCTAGGGGGAAGGAAAAGATGGGAGCTTGAAGGTTGTTTATTCCCTTTGGCGGTTTTAGGAAAACTTTGCTAGCTCAACTAGGTAACTGAACTCATCTGATTGGCAAAAATGAATTTTGGTGATTCCATTTTCTTAGTTATGAGAAACCTCAAAACTAGTGGATTTTCAGTTATAAGAAACCTCTGAAATGTTGAAATTTAATTGATTTTTGTTATGCAAAATTATTTCCCTTTGAAGTGAGGGTTTTAATTCTGTATTTATTCATATCGGACAATTTAGCTTCAGAGGTTTGAATGTTTTTACCCCATTTTTCATTCGAGGAGATGTTGCTTACCTAGGTTGATTTGGTGTGCTTATCTTCGTAATCTTCTCCTATAGTGAAACTTGGTTATTATACTACGGCAGAAGCTTTTATTTATTTTAAGGAAAAGTTATGCTTGGTGTTGCTGATTCTGGATCAGTATGCCGTTTATTTGTTGATGACTTTATTTGATATCTTTTAATCTTGTTCCAGAAGATCTGTTTTGGCTTGTTAATAACAGATCTGGCTTTTAAAAAGATCTATCATGTGATGCATTCACTTGTCCTGGATATTTTCATGGTTTGATTTTTAATTTCAGTATGAGCATGTAATTCTTTACTGTTTAAAAAAAAAAAACGTGAGTTAGTAGTGGGTTTTTCGAATGTGTAATTTGCAGTACGAAATAACTTTATTTTGTCATTTGTTTATTGACAAAGATCTTTGCTTAAGTTAATTATATTGAAGGCACTCCTCTACATTTTGGTGTGGGTGTTTTTCTGAAAGCATTTCCAATCCATTGAACAAGTCCTTCTTCAAAAGTTTTGTGCTTTTGGTGATATGCAGAATTTCATTATGCTACCTTTTTGGCCAAGTTTTATGTGCCTGCTCGTTGAAACATTACATATTACTCTGATACTTATCACCTAGTCTAACGTCTTATTTCTTTTTTGAGACAGGATGAACTCTGGTATTGGGATGCTGAACATTTTGAGTTTGTATGCACTTTTCTCCTCTGACTCTTGCTGATTAGTTTGATTCAGATAATTTTACAGCAAATGGATCGACGTGATACCTCAGGGTTTGTTAGTGGGGGTGGGATGTACTCATTTAGAGACATCTAACGCTAGTTTTGTAGATAACTTTTCAACCCGGAAGTCAGGGAGACTGTTCCTTGTCATTAAATTTGCTTCAATAAGAGTGTTGCATCTTAGCTGTGAGGTCATGGATGCCAGATTCCACAATTTGGGTTTTGCTGCTAACCCTGCGTTGAATGCATTAGAGAATCTGGGTAATTCCTTTCAAATTGGAGTTGCTGGTGGTGGCTTTTGTGCAGATACTACACTGTGTCTTGATTCTTCTGGCTCACCAATACCTTTTGTATCTGCCTCAAAGGGAATGAAAAGGAAATGGGGCTTGATTGACGGTTCTGTGGGTCAGCAATTGGAATCATCACTGTGTCTCCGTCTAGGCCATTCAACAAGTTCCTCAGACAGTAAAGGGAGTTCAGCAACTGCATGCACATCAATCTCTTCGGCAAAAGAAATTGAAGAGTCATCTTCGATGGACCTAGAACTGAACTTCTCCCTCCATCTTGGAAATGATAAAACATTTAGCCCAAGGAAATCTACTAGTGCTAGTTCTAAATTAGTGGATGTCTGGCCAAAGGTTGATCTGGAGTTGAGTCTTTCCAGTGGGACTGCTGAATCTGATGTCACCTCTATCCATTTGAGCTCTACCCCACCACAAAATGTTGTAGACCAGATGCATGTGGCTGTTGGTGGGGCATTTTACAGCGAAGAAGGATCGATATCATCAAGCTTGAAGATGGGGAGCTTATTTCATCCATTGCCGACTGTGGATAACTTGCAGACTAGTTACTTGCTAAACAAAGCTGTAAGAGATTTGAAACCAGCTGCAACCACTCCTGAGCTTTCAACAAGCATGGTGACAACACCAAAAAGCTCAGTCACCTGTACTTCCGGGATAACTCAACAGCAACAGCAGCGTAGTGCCAGTACGAAACAGTGTCAATTCAACGGATGTGTAAAAGGGGCTAGAGGTGCTTCTGGCCTTTGCATCGCCCATGGAGGTGGGCGGAGGTGTCAGAGACTTGGTTGCCATAAAGGAGCTGAGGGTCGAACTGCATTCTGTAAGGCTCATGGTGGTGGTCGTAGATGTGAATTCCTAGGTTGTACCAAGAGTGCAGAAGGCGGACTGATCTCTGCATTGCACATGGTGGAGGTCGGCGTTGCAGTCATGAAGGCTGCAGCCGAGCTGCCAGAGGGAAATCTGGATTGTGTATCCGGCATGGTGGTGGGAAAAGATGCCAAAGGGAGAACTGCACAAAAAGTGCAGAAGGCCTCTCTGGTCTCTGTATTTCTCATGGAGGTGGCCGTCGATGTCAATATCCTGAATGCACAAAAGGGGCTCAAGGAAGCACAATGTTTTGCAAAGCACATGGTGGCGGTAGACGATGCACTTCTGAAGGATGTACCAAGGGTGCTGAAGGGAGCACGCCTTTCTGCAAGGGCCATGGTGGAGGGAAAAGGTGTTCATTCCAGGGAGGTGGATTTGTCCAAAAAGCGTACACGGAGGCACCCTTTTCTGCGTAGCACATGGTGGTGGTAAGAGGTGTGCTGTTCCAGAATGCACAAAGAGTGCAAGGGGGCGGACTGATTTTTGTGTTCGTCATGGTGGGGGCAAGAGATGCAAATTTGAAGGGTGTGGAAAAAGTGCTCAGGGAAGCACTGATTTCTGCAAGGCCCATGGTGGTGGGAAGAGGTGCTCTTGGGGGCAGCCTGGTTCTGAATTTGGAAATAGTGAAGTCCTTGCAATTCATTTGTGCGTGGGAAGACCGGGTTGTGTGCTTCTCATGGTGCTCTGGTCCAGGATAAACGGGTTCATGGTGCTGTGACATTAGGAGCTATGGTCCAGGATCCAGAACCAAGCAAACCTGATAAGATGAAACAGGTTATCATTGCTGAAGACATGAATGCTGATATCATGAAAATGGAGAGCAGTGTTATAACACCTTTCAGTGGTTCTGGTGGGAAATGTGTTTGTCCCCTGCAAGCTGGTCTGCCTGTTGAAGAAGTGCATCGTCAAATGCAGTTGCAATTCCAGAAGGAAGGGTGCATGGTGGAAGTCTGATGGCAATGATGGTAAGCAATTCTGCTCTGAGCTTTGGCAGCAGCAATGGCATGGTTAGTCCGTCTGAGCAAAGGAAGTCTTGGATCCGTCAAAGCTGGGTCTGAAGACTATCTGCTTTCCTGTTTGTTTGTTCTATCATGTTCATGGCCAGCATGTTCTTCTGGTTGTTTGTGCATCTTCTGCTTTCACAGCTTGTGCTCTTGTTACATGTGTAACTGTTTCATATTTGTTTAGATCGTTGAACTATGAATGTGGTGTGGTGAATATGTGTAGCAATAAGGGGAAAGCTACGTGGCTTTCAGATGTAGCCCTTTGATTGTGGTTTCTGGTGTTCATCTTTGTAAATATCTAAAGTTTCGTAAATTGGGTTTAGTGTTGGTTTGCCAAATGTTTGTGTTCAAAATAAGTCAGGCGATCTCTTTGTATCTCGAGTGTCTTGTATTAGGTATCTTAGGGCTTTGAGTGAGTTAACATTTGAGTCCTGAGTCCATATCGTGAGTAGCTGAATTTCGAATAAACCTCGGGTCTGTTTGGACCGGAGATTTAGATGGATCTGGATTCAAAATACTATTGGTTTCAGTGAGCCGTATTCAAGTCAAATTCAAGTAATTTGAATTTTTTACATGTAAATTTTACTTTTATACTAATCGAGCTGAATTCAAACCTAACTTGAAAGTTTGCCAAACCAAAAATACTATTGCAGCCTAGTTTAGCCAAACCAAAAATACTATTGCAGCCTAGTTTAATTAGTTAGTAGATCAAATTTAAACAAGTTCTTGGCGGTATCAAATCACTCGATTCATATCTCAATCCTGTAAAAAGGTGAATGTACTTTTGGCCTTTGGAAACCGAAGTGGTTTTTTATTTCATTTGCTGTACAAAGTAATAGAGTGTGAGATGTCGTGGGAATGGACGCAGGTTTCTAACCTTATTCTTGACTCAAACGAATGATTGAAGGGTCAGGCGGCCCAAAATCTGTAATGAGGCTGTTGTTTCCCTACGGCCCAGTTCTTTCACAGTACGGTCCATGCTCCATCAGTTAGCGATAATCCCTCCAAGAAATTCATTGTTCCAAAATCCAGGCGCATTCTAACAAGAGTTAAAATTCCTTTCCATTTCTATATTGATTGACTAATGATTAACGACTTAGCCCACCGTTTGGCAAGGGAATGAGGGATTGGTCCAGTACGCATAGATATGGATTGTCACTAACTCCTCCTGTTGCATAAGAAATTTCTGTGCGAATTTTGGCAGACATTTTATTATTGTTTCTAACATATCCCAGGGACAACCATGATTACCAGTTCGATTTTATTTTTAAAAAAATTTTAAAACGTTACATTCCATGACTGTAAATTTGGGATTATTCACTGAAATAGGTACCAGAATTGGTTCTCACGCTGCAAATATCAAAAGATGTGAGTTAAGTAACACTGACATTGCACGGTATCGTATGCCCTCCACCTATCACTCTCAGAGTATCGAATATGATGGAGAATGGAGAATCAGTTTCTTGACAACAGAACATAAATGGGATTTTCATGCCGTATCTTAAAATAAACTTTTCAAGTTCTTGATATTATTGGCGCTTTTGCTTCTCCACCCCACACCACACCACCACCCCCCCCCCCCCCCAAAAAAAAAAAAGAAAAACCACTGTTCCAGTATTCCCATGTACATTACTTCCATTTCTATGCCGTCTGAATCTTGAACTTTGCCATCTTAGAGAGGCCATCAACTGCTTCGACCAGATGATCAAGTCGAGCAACGAACTCAACAAGTAATGAGGTGAAAGTAGCAAGTGACAGATGAGCAGTGCTCTCCAGCGCCTGCATTTTGGGAACAAAATCTGCACTATTAGCTCCCTCCTCTTCGAAGACATCAACTTCTCTGGAAGGCCAAGAATGGAGCCTTCTCGAATGTTTTCTCGTACTCTCATGATAAGATTCTGTTTGCGCTGGAGGAAAACTTCCTAATGGCTGGGAGGGCGGAATGTTCAAGTTTTGTTCGTCGCGAAGCTTGACATCGATCTCAGCCATCTGGTTTGAAATATCACTCAAGTTGGCAGACAAAGTGTGGGACAACTTCGGCAGTTGTCTATCAGGAGGCTGATCATAAGTGGAAATGAGGAGATACGAATGCATATCTATTGCTCGTTGAAGACGCTCAGCTGTGGCGTGCACCTTTTTCAGTATAGGAGCTTTGAGACTTTTCTGCGTATCGCGTATATCATTTCCTAAACATCTAACTAGCTCAGCTGCCTCAGTTGTAGCATCCTGGATCTCTTGCTGGAATGTAATTCTGAGATTATAAGGGGCCTAAATCACATATCAATACACAAGTGCATTGGTAAGTTACAGAGTTACATCAGCATAAATGTATTCGTTCACATGATCTTTAAGTATGTGCAGGCAATAGTGTATCAGTAATAGTAGGCTTTGCAGTAAAAGCATTGCATATTTGTTTCAAACATGCAGCATCTGTTATAGATGCTGCTGTCTAAGCATGCACGTAAAGAATTTGTTTGAAAACATAGCGGAATATGTTCGGAAAGATAAAAATTTATGTTAGATGTGTTATACCGTTGAAAGAATAAAATGCAGAAGATGCTTAATTGGGAGATAAACAGAAAGTATAAATGCTGCCATCCTTGGACTAACAGAAAGAATTGCGTCTCAACCGTGTTAAGGCTAGACCGCACATTTGAGAGATGCAATACACATATGGTATCTGGCAAAAAACAACATCAATTGCGTTTTCAGGGAGTTCTTTTCTAGAGCTTTTTGTTTGCCATTTACCCTCTTCTATCGCATCAAATTGAATTATCAAGAGAGTTTTTTTAACATAATTATAGTACTTTTTGTATATTCTAGATTTCCTACACTGATTGGAAAGAGTTATAATTCTGCTAAGTAGATTGTGAATGTGGGACTAAGCAGGGCATCTGAGAAACCGAAAACAGAATATAACCAATGACGATAGGGTAGCAAAGACCTGAATTTCTGCGTGAAGAACGCCATGAAGTGCCATGACCTCGTATGCACAGTATCGCAAAACTGCACTGACTTTCACGTACTCTGACCATGGGTAGAAGAAGTGACTGAATGCCATGCGGCGGCTCCCATTTGGCTGAATTAGCCTTCAAATATAAGCAAAGATAATAAAATATGGTTACCGTTTCCTAATCTTGGAGAACGAGAAAGAAACAAAAATGACTTATAGACTAGTTGATCGTGATTTATAAACTAGTTGTACCAATGATTCCAGTTTAGCAGAAGAACTCAAAGTGGATCGACATTTCTTGTATGCAGGCTCATCTGGAAAGTCATCCATCACAGTACTTGAGAACTCTGGATGATTTGATCCATCGTCTTCTAGATACTTTTTAACACATTCTGAAACGTACCAAGTTGACGATTTTATTGTTTTCCAAAGTAAAAGAAATGAAATTTTTTAAGTTGTTGATTACCTTCAAGAGCGTCAGCCACTGACTTAAAGTTTGTTACAAGTTCTTGATGCAACTGCTCCCAGCCCAAATAGGAAATATTAGTGCATTCACTGAGACTGCTACAATCCCTCCAATGGCTATTGAATAAAGCCGATCCATGGATGTTCTTATTGGATTCCCCATTCGATATCCAGAATCAATGATCAGGCAGTAGGTGAAGAGTATTACGCGAAAACCATACTCATATGGCGCAAGAGAAGGCCATAACTTCATGAAGGATGTGATAGTCCCTGCGAAACAAAGTTAATTGAACAAAATATCTTAGTCTGGATGGTCTGTTTCTAATAATAATAATAATATTATTATTATTATCTGCAAGATTTTTCGTGTTTGTCAGATTGGTAGGTAAATGGGAAAAAGGGTGAATTACCAACTAGGAAGATGCTGACACCAATAATAATAGGCTCAGCAACAGGACCAGTGCTTAAGGCTATTTGAGCAACAACAATTGCTAAAACTCCTGCCAGCAGGCTTCCAAGTGCTCGGTTGAATCCTCTATTGAATGTGGATCCTGTTGAACAAAAATGCAACAAAGAATTCTAGTTATACATTATTCTCCTAGTATTAAACATTTCAACCGAATGTTTGATAATGTATTAGAAACATGTCGTGTATGATATTTTGTACAATAATATTCAATTTTTCCGTGCTGTCATACTTTACAGGTATCCAATACCTTTTTTCCAATATTTATGAATAACTCAGCTAATTTTCCTCCTTAGCTTACAAGAAAGAAGAAATCAGGTAATTTTCCACTTTCAACAGTCTACATACCAACATTATCAAAAAAAAAAAAAAAAAAAAAAAGCTACATACCAACCGTATAGTCGAACATGATGGCCACAGTGAGGATAGACCATATAATGTTGGATCCAAAGACATGATAAGGAGCCCGGATCAGAATTAGCAGCGAAACCAGAAGAACAGCAAGGCCAACTTTCAAAGCGAATATTATTCTGTTGGTATCTTCCTTGCAAAATTTCCAGACCTCCATAATCCATCCTCTGCATGAGAAGCCAGAGTTCTTCTCGGCATCACGGAAAACAACTTTGCTAACCTGCGGTATATTGATCTCAATACTACAGTTTTTCCCATTCATTCTCCAAAGAAGAAATATATCCCTCTCCAAATGTTGTTCTAACTGGGCTTCTTTGATTTTTAAAGTTCCCGTAGCTTCAAAATTACGAGAACTAGCCCTCGAAATAGAAATATTAGGATTTCAAGAAGAAAGTTTTATCAGCTTTTGTGCTTCTTCACGGAAGGGAAAAAAAATCTTCAGGAAATCAGTCAGTTGAAATGAGGAGCACAAGTGGGTTTGTTGTATGGTATGACTAAGATATAAAGAACTGGCTGCATTGGGGATGGCATGGGAGTTTTTTTGCCGGGGAAGAGGGGGGGGGGAGTGGGTTTATTGGTTCAGTCACTCAGATGTACATGCAAGTAGGAGGAGAAAGTATGTCTAGTCAGGAAATGATATGCAGAGAAAAAGAATAATACGGCAATAATAGAAGGAAAGATGATGTTCAGAACTTGGATAAGAGATGCTTGAGTTCAATAATGTGGGATGGATAGAGACTAGAATATAAGAAGAAACTAGGGTAGAAGAACTAAGCGGCCTCTGTCGCCACGTTAACAACTCGAAAAATATCTTTCCATGCAACCTTTGCTGCATGGAAGACTACTAGAGCAACCAGGAACGCACACTGGAGTTTTAGAGATCAGGTCTTATTTCAACAAATCAAAGTGTACATTAACGACTTCTTTTCGATTGTCCTGTGCATCTAGCTAAGATTTTATCCGGCAGATTTTCGAAGGTTCTCGAGACAAATTCTACAGCCTTTTGACTCTTGTTTCTTGATTAAATTCGTTTCTACAATTCCCTGGGAGGAGCATTTACAAGAAGACTTTATGAGGTACTCACGCTTAGGTAGTCCCACTTCTTCATGTGCGAATATGTCCAGCGTAAAACTGATAGGTGTCTTTTAATTTTAGTTCTTGATAAACGCACAAGTTGTTTATCATTACATCTCGAATATGCATTAGTTCTCAGGTATCTGTTCATCACATATCATTCAGCATTCTTTCACATAGTGTATGAGCTGTTATTCTTTCGCGAACGCTTGTTTCCTTGTATCATTTGTCGAGAATAATCACATGATATAGTATCTACTTGTTTTCCAAGTTCACTAGGTCGAACTAAAGTTTGGAATTCAATGCAAAAGAAAGAATGTTTTCGTAACTGCACTGCAGAGAGATAAAATATTTGAAAGCAAAAAAATGTGAAATACCATTTTTCCGACAATCGTTTTTATACACGTTTAGAATTGGATGCTATAAGCGTCAAATCAATGCACCGAATGCCAATTTCAACAATATCAGATTAATGCAGCATTAATGGGGGCATCCAGATGCAGTTGGAACAATACAAATTAAATGGTGGAGAATATATACATTCTGTCCATGTCCATCTGCACGAACCTACAGTTTGATTGCCACACAAAGTAGTCAACAACCGACCAACCAACCATTCATTCTTTTGCTATTCACGTATTTGCTAAATTTCTATCTGACGAAAGTAATTGATTTACAGAAGCTAATTTAGAGATTCATCAGCAGCAGTTTTCGAAATACAGAGCCTATAACTAACAGTTCTTGCATTCATACGCATAAATGTAAGCTTTTCCTCCACTCCACGCACGACCATCAGCAGTCAGCCGGCTATAAATATACCTCTGATTTGGGGCTACCTCTGATTTGTTTTAGATGACTAGTATTGTATAGCATAGAGTGCTCTATTGATGTAGTAGAAATTCTACGTTCCATGTACAAGCTCACTATTCTTGTCAATAAAATGTTCAATTTTGCTAAAAAAAATATATAAGCTTTTAGGTAGCTAGAGGACTTTGTGATGGGAATAACAAGATCTCGAGTTTAGCTAGAAATTGCTATTCCAATTGTCAAGTTTAATTAAAAAAGTCATCCACCTAACTAACTAAGCAGGTAATCAAGCAAGAAGATAAGAAGATATCCATGTAAAAATACACACAGTTCATGCAGGAAGTCAGCTGTTTAGGAGTTAAAGACGAGGATGGAATACACCGGAAACTTTCTTCATTATTATTTGGAATTTTCAAGGATGGCAATGACGGTTAGAGTGGCATGGCACTAGGATATATATATATATATATATTGCACTGGACAACACGGATCTGTTTTATGTACAATTCAAACGGGTCAGATACACAAATTTTTACTTGTTCGTACTTGTTCCGGGCCAACCTTGCAAGAGGAAGAGGGAGCGTTGAGTTGACCAAATGCCGCCTGGAGTCTAGCTCGTGTCTCGCACGTTTTCAGAGGTCAATCCTGTCATTTCGAACCAGCAGCTGATCTTCAGCGTTCAGACCAGAGGACCCTGTTTGCGTTTTCTTCCCACAAACAGTTTGACTTTAAAGTCGTGTAACAAAATAAAACCCACCCACAGCTCAGTTGAAAGTTGAAACGGGAACATGGGTAACTGTAGCGGCTTACCCTCTCACCAATCTGGCCAATCATCATCACGACCAACACCGTCGCCGTCCAAGGGCATCACCGTCCTCCCCCCCGACCAACCTCCCCCTCCCCGCCCACTCTCGGGCATCGGCCGTGTCCTTAACCGCCCCATGGAAGACATCAGCTCCACCTACATTTTCGGCCGGGAGCTAGGCCGGGGACAGTTTGGGGTCACCTATCTCGTCACTCACAAGACCACCGGCGAACAGTTCGCGTGTAAGTCAATTGCCAAGAGGAAGCTGTTGAACAAGGACGACGTTGACGACGTCCGCCGCGAGGTTCAGATCATGCATCATCTCACCGGTCACCGGAATATAGTCGAGCTCAAAGGCGCGTTCGAGGATCGGCATAATGTTAACCTGATCATGGAATTGTGCGCCGGTGGCGAGCTTTTGATAGGATTATTACCAAAGGGCATTATTCGGAGCGTGCTGCGGCGGCGCTGTGCCGGCAGATGGTAACGGTGGTGCATTATTGTCACTCTATGGGAGTTATGCATAGAGACTTGAAGCCTGAGAATTTTTTATTTTTGAGCTCTGATGAGGACTCGCCGTTGAAGGCTACTGATTTCGGCTTGTCAGTCTTCTACAAGCCAGGTAGGTAGTGTACTATTAATGATGTAAAGCTTCTAGTATTTTTGTTTCCCCTCTTCTTTTCTGGCCATAATATTGATGTGGTTTTCAGTTTTCTTCAATACAAAAGTGGATTGATTTTGTGTATATTTGTGTGTGCATGCGTTGGTAAAAGTGTAGTTGATAAAAAAACAAAAAAACGCTTTGAAATTATTTGATTAATTTCGAAGCAATTATGTGCGGAATGTATAATTGGGAATCTTGAAGTGCTTGTTAGTGATGTATTTTTAATTTTATTATTATTTAGAAAGGATGGCTTGACATGATCTTTGCTAAAATAGAATGCAGATTATGTATCAATTGGCATTATCTTATATTTTGTTTAGTAAAATAAAAACTTGAGCGAGGAGAGCCTTTTTTTTAATGGTCTTGTTAAATGCATTAAGTTTTTCATCCTATTTGTCCATAGATTGAAGCATTTTCTTTTGCATGTGGAGGTGTGCATGTCTCTGCAGGAAAAGCTTCAGAGAAGTGAAACACTAAATGGCCTTAAATCTACTAGGTCTTGGGCCTGCAACATTGCAAAATACTAATGCACCTTGAGAATGTCTAGTGAAACTTATGATACGTCTCTCTGTTAAACAAGATTTTAGCTATGTGGTGAACAGAAATTGTCATCACAGTCTTTTGCGACCGAAATGACCATTAAGAGCAGCAGCTTTGCTAGCATTAACCAATCAATTGATTTGTTAATGAAGAAACTTGTAATCAAAGGAACCTCTTCCCTTGTACATCACTGCCAATAAAATGTTAAAGTGTGCATTCCAAGATTTTTTTTTTCTTCTTTGTCATTATCTTACAGACAGGGGGGCAGGTTTCTTGTCATCCTGTGTCGTCTACAAATTCTTATGCATAGTGGTCATTAATGCTTAAACTACACAGAAAATAAAAAACTTGCAGAACCTAGACAGTTTTGGATTGCTTTTCTTCACTTCAAAGCCCTACTGCAGCTTATTAATTTAGCATGTTTACGGGTTGTACTTATTTTTTAACTTATAGTTGGCCTTTTGTAGGAGATGCATTCAAAGACCTTGTGGGAAGTGCATACTATGTGGCCCCAGAGGTCTTGCGGAGAAATTATGGAGCTGAAGCTGATATTTGGAGTGCTGGAGTGATACTTTATATTCTACTAAGTGGTGTCCCACCTTTTTGGGGAGGTAAATGATTATTTGAATGAATAAATAATGTGCTGTGGTTCTGTCCATTTTCGTTTATTTTCTTGCTTTTCCTGCATTCTTTAGCCATTTGTAATCTATGTTTCTGTAACATGCCACTCTTTGAGAAGAAAGCAGGGTTGGAAACATTCTCCGTTATCTTTGTTGATTCTGCCACTGTCAGTTTAAGTTTTATGACAGACAGCTATAGAATTTTTAACACTATTTAGTTTTGTTGTGTAAATTTTGAGGCCAATAAGCCTTTAAGTACTTTCTTTTATATTGTTAAATGTTAATAGTCCATGGAAAATGAGCATAGTAATGCATCTGCATGGTTAGTGAAATATATTGAAAATGAAAGCCACTGTCTCATCCATTGCTTTTCTTATGTCTTTTATTTTCCAAGTACTGATTTACAACATCTTAATGATCCTTTTGGTTCTCCTATTTGCAGAAAATGGGCAGGTATTTTTGATGCCATTCTGCGGGGCTCATCTTGATTTTTCATCAGAACCTTGGCCATCAATATCTAGTAGTGCGAAGGACCTTGTCAAAAAGATGCTGAGAGCAGATCCTAAAGAAAGGCTTTCTGCAGTTCAAGTTTTAAGTAATCTTCAGCTCTTTATCCCTCGTGACATAAAATTCCCTTGAATGCTCATCCAAGTTTCCACTAAGGCCAGAAACTCTTTGATTCTTGCCATGTTCAATTTGTTTTAATGGAAATTTACACTTGTATAGCTGCATAGCTAGCTGTTTGTGTGTGTGTGTGTGCACGCTCGCACATGTTAATTAATATCCTAAATGGGTTATATTTGCATCATTGTCATACACTGGAGAAAAAAAATAAAATCCTAGTTTTAGTGAAGTTTCATGCGGATAAATTAAAAAAATCCTGTAATAATATAAATAAGGACAAAGACCATTTTTCATAAACTACTCAAGAAGCTTTCAAAAGATGGATTTCTCATTTGCCTTAGGTTCACCTGGAAACTAATATCAGTATTAAAACTGTTGCTGACCACAGAGTTAATGTGTTGCTCTATAGTTTACTTGTCATTTTCAATTTCCTAAATCAGGTCTTGTTTATGTGTATGCTTTCACTTAATACAAGTTACCTTGAGCTCCATGTGTTTTAGAATCATTGTTTTGGATTCCGGGGTAATTTTTTCTCTGCTAAAAGGCGTTACAATGGCACCGTGTCCCCACAAACTAGGAAGGCAAATCAAAATATGGGTGCTCACAAAGTTTTCAGAAAATAGAGTTTCTGCAATCTTTGGGCTCCCTACAAACCAACCATTTTTAGGATCACTTAATTAGATGAAGAGTTAATTGTGAATGTTGCAGACCATCCATGGATGAGAGAAGACGGTGACGCATCTGATAAGCCTCTCGACATTGCTGTTTTGACTAGGATGAAGCAGTTCCGTGCTATGAACAAGCTCAAGAAAGTAGCCCTCAAGGTGGGGAAATGTTGTACTTTACTTTTGGTAAAGGATTCCTTTACAGTTAAGCTTTGTTTAAGTTTTTGTTGTCTTTCCCCATTAGGTAATTGCAGAAAATCTATCAGAAGAAGAAATTATTGGTTTGAAGGAGATGTTCAAATCCATGGATACAGATAATAGTGGGACAATTACTTTGAAGAGTTGAAGCTGGCCTTCAAAGCTTGGCACCAAGCTTTCTGAGTCCGAAGTGAGGCAGCTCATGGAAGCGGTGCGTAAAAATTTCTCTGTTTAGTTTTTCTCACTTGTTTTGGCTTCAGAAAGTCTCAGCCTCCCTTTATGAACCTTTCTACAGATTATAGAATTCTGTTAAGGGTGTCCAAGTCAGAAGCTCCAAAAGAATGTTAAGCATGTCGCGAACCTTACTTTCTAGCTTCTTTGCTGTCTTCCTGAGAGCTGAAGCAAATTAGTACTATAGCTCATCTACTTTTTTCCTCGCATACTTTGATAACCAAATCCCTTGTTTCCTGATGCAATCTTTTGTGTTCATAATTTTTTCCCCTCTTTCTAAACGGTTTAATGGAGTAGAACAACTCATTTTATGCATAAGTACCTGAATGAAATTCTCTTGATGCTCAAGACTACCTTGAGACTGTTGTGGTCTTAAATTGTTGGCTTGGAAGAAATATGCAATTTTGTCTTTATTTATAACATATTGCATTTATCAACTGTGCCCTTTTTCAGTGCATGGAGTGAAATGCAATTTCATACTAGTATACTGTAATTCAAATACAAAGATTTTCTTGATCTTTTTAGGTGCATGGATTGAAATGCCAACACATCAATATGTATCTTTAAAGATAGGTCTTTCTTATGCTGTTTTTTCTTCTTCTGATTAGTCATCTTATGAAGATCTATAATCTGTATTCATTTATTTGTACTTAGAGAGAACAATAGTCCGTAGGTTGGTATGTGGCGGTTTCTGTAATGCCTTGGCATTACAGTCATTAATTGCTAATAAGCTGTTTACTGTCCCAGGCTGATGTGGATGGAAATGGAACAATTGATTACATTGAGTTCATAACTGCCACGATGCACATGAACCGAGTAGAAAGAGAAGACCACCTGTACAGAGCCTTTGAATATTTTGACAAAGATAAGAGCGGGTAGATCCCGATCAAAAAATGCCTGTCCAAATTTTGTTCCATATATTTTCTGGTTTGTAATCTTTCTTCGAATTTTAGGTACATCACGATGGAAGAATTGGAGCATGCCCTAAAAGAGTATAATATGGGTGATGAGAAAACAATAAAGGAGATCATTGCAGAGGTTGACGCAGATCATGTATGTACCTTTCTCCACTAAATAGGTTGTAAGATACAGAATGATGCCTATTTCCAATCAATGAACAATATATCTATCACAATCTGGAAAAAGCTCTGCGTTGGGTCCCTTAGTCCCAGGTGCTGAACAGGGAAATTATGAGGAAGACAGGCAAAATTTAGATGTTCCTGTCTTATTTGTATAATGTTCTTGGCCTATGCATGATATGTTATGTTATTCATTCGCAGGATGGAAGAATTAACTATGATGAGTTCGTTGCCATGATGAGGAAAGGCCAGCCAGAGATGCCCCAAAATAGACGTCGGAAATAAGCCTAAAGAAGGATTTTTCATGCCTTCCCATTCCTTTAACAGGTTGGGCTCAACGGTTAATGATGTAAATGATTAAGACCTCGTGTTGCGAAATATGTTGCTCCTGATTTTTCTTAGTACGTGGATGTGGGAAGAACTTGATTTCCAGGATTGGATGGCCTGTAGGCTGTTGCATGTCAACTGAGGCATTGAGCTTTGCCATCACGTGCTGTGCATATTTTGATTGTTGAGGCGGCTAGCAGACTCATCAGGCCAAGTACTAGAGATATACAACAGGATACGGATATCGATGATATCGTGCATGTTTTTGGATTATGGTCGACCAGAGAACAATTTTTGGGGTCAGTCTGATCTGAGCTCTTTTTCCTGAAGTCTGTGTGGCAACAAGCTACACAATCTTTTCTTTTGGTACACGATCCAATTGGTGTTTGAACTACAAGCTATCTCCTGTTGCTTGCATCTTCCTCCTTCCTTTTAGCAGCCAAGTGGAAACTGGCTTGCTCTTAACGGCGGTCTAAACCCAAAACCGTTTAAAAAAAAAAAAAAAGAACAAATGTTCCGGCTGCTACGCAACAATTGTAACTCTTCATTTACCAAAAACGTAGATAAATGGACGCCTTGAGACAAATTTCCCTGTTTTTGGAGTCGTTTTATGTATTATATTTACCTGTGATTATCACCATCTTCATTGAATAGGAAAGCATATTTGTCGAGTGGGAATCAAAATTGTCTCCAACAATCCAACATTATTAAGTATGGTTGATCGTTAATCAGCAGTACCAGAGATTTTTTCCTTGTTTTGTAGAAAAGCCATTACAAGAATTTCATCAAGGAAAAACAAAACATAAAAAAGAGTAGAATAATTAATTGTTTGGCATAATTAATTTCCCAAGTCAGATGTACATCATGCAACTATAACTCGCTACTGTAATCATAATTAACCAATTGTTTGACAAATGAAAAGATCTCAAAGCCACTTAGTGTTTGCATCTTCTCAGACTTATTATTGTTACAATTGGTAGACTTATTATTGTTACAAATAATTGACGTATGAATGACTAGTAGACTTAATTATTGCACACCTTGTATATGAATAATCCAGCACAATTCGATGCGTTTATTCTTTCCCACAGATTTTGAGTTCTGTTCTTGGAGATCTTTCAATATTCACCTGCAGCTTGTCGGAGCGGCCTTGAATCATTAATTCTTCACCTCCACTTTATTCGATGCGTTTATTCTCTCCCACAGATTTTGAGTTCTGTTCTTGGAGATCTTACAATATCCACCTGCAGTTTGCTGGAGACGGCTTGCATCATCAATTCTTCATGCAGAGTATCGACTCGCTCATCCATGTACCAACCGCCTCCAGTTCTAAATGATAATCATCACAATAGAACCTATAGGGTGAGCGGATCCACAGTCGTTCAAGTGCTGGAGCATTTTTTACCAAATAAGTAGCGAAATGAATTTCATTTACTGTCCCGTGAAATCCATTAAATTCCACTTCTTTTAATTGACCAAGGCGTCTGGGAGGCCATTCTCTTCCTCTTTCTTCATTGAAACCTCGACAAAGTAACTAAAGCCAAAATAAATCAGTCAGGTTCTTAGCTAAATGCATCGATAGAACATGTGATGTGATGCCCAACCTTCTAAAATGAGAAACCAAAATGAGGAGAGTGAAGAGTACATCATAATAAGTTCAGAGAAAGATGTACACTAATAATCATTTGTTTTTATTTTATCAGGTCACTGAAGATGCACAAAGAAGCAAAACCAAGTATTTTAGTCACAATAACAAGCAATGATTTTCATAGCACGCTTTCACTTCTTTCAATTTGCCAAAATCATTCAATTAATATCTGCTTAAATTATAACCTTCAAACATGACTTAAGATTGGAGAAGAGAATTTGGTTGAGTGAAAAGTCATGGACATCAAAAGAAAGGTCACCTTGGGCAAAGTTCCTACACATACTGTGGCATGAACAAGAAGTAGAAAGGAGAGAGACAAACAAAAAACCAGGAGAACAAAAGTTTGACGGGCAGTTAAGTTGTTTCTCCATGCCAATGGACTGTGGCATCAACAAAGAAGGGTGAAAAACAAAAGACAAACAAGTGATAAATTGGTATTCTTTCACTTTAAAAATCTTCCCACAGATTGCAACAGTAGAGTCGTGATTTAAGCAGCATTGTCTCTTCAAAGTGACACCATTGGAAGTCACACCTCTGACTTGCATCTTTAAAAGCAGCGTGACAAAAAGTGCAAAACACATGCTGTGAGAACGTTAGAAGAACAATTGTTATTTCCCAAAGTTTACTCTGAAATAAGTACCTATGGATCAGCTTTATTCCATAGGCCTGTTTATTGGGGTAGGAACAGGGAGAGTGGGAAGGGAGAAGCAGGGCTCAGAGAAAGAGCAAAGCCATGCCAGGAGCAAGGCAAAAATTAGGAGTCACTATAAGCATGCAGACACTTATTTGATATGTCAACTGCCAACTATTCACATACTGCATTCTAAAAGGCAGAAGTGGAGCTTAAAGAACAAGCCAAGCCATGCAAGGACGTTGGGATGTAGCAGGTAAGCAGCAAGGTTCACCTTCAAATTGGGACCGACTATGGAATAAGCATGCAAACACTTACTTCAACTATAAAATATTCACATACTGCATTTTAGAAACAACACATCCATCAACAGCTAAAACAGAAAGCTCTTATACAGAATGAAGAGGAAAAAAGACATGCAAAGGTATCAACATCTAAAGAGAGATTTACATCTTACAAACTGGATATTGAAACGATTTTCAATCAATTTAACAAATAAACGAAGTATCTTATACATTACAAATCCACAAGATGTAAGAAAAAGATAATCTTGTACATTATGGACATTAATAGCAATGCTACAACTAGGGCCCAACAAATCTTGCCAAAGCAAAATCTTATCTAATTATGCTCAACAAACAGATGTTCAGCTCAGATTCCATCCAATATCAATTTTATAATAGAAGTGGAAATTATATAAACAAAAATTTCCTTCCTTTTCTACAGATAAATTGTTTATAATTCGATGGAAACCCCTACATCTGATGTCATAGAGCTAAAATTGACCTTGAAACAAACATGTCAAACCTCTAATCATCCATGCAAATCATGAATATGTACACATAAAACATCAAAAGTTGAAAGGAAATCCAGTCATTCTGGTTTTGCTAACTTTCGAAATTTAAAGTCAACCAAACTCTCGATGGAAGATTGGCCTAGATTGTAGTCAAGCTGATTTGACAATAACCCTAGTTGAGGCAATCAACTTAAATGCTTCATATAAGCATCCATGACTAACATCAATTCACACTGAAGGCCATAAGGCTGAGCTTAAAACACTAGAATACTGCTTCTGAGTGAAGGTCATGGACTTAGAGAAAAAAAATTAAAATGGGGCAGTACAAGTAGAAAATATGACAGTTAGAGAACGCTGTAAAAAAGACATTCAGAATGGCAAAAAGAACAGTTTCACAGAGTACTTAACAAAGGATATTATCCCAAATAGACCTAAGGAAATGGAATCATCAAGACTAAAGAAAATTCATTCAGCATTTATTCACTTAGCAAAAGCACCACAAATTTTAAAAGCAAACTAAATGTAACAATGCCATTTTGAAAATCCAATCTCTTCAAAGAAAGGGCCAATATCTCTTGCTTTAGTTATTCTAAGTCAAAGAATATTAGCCTTTTACAATGTTTCCAAAAAGATGGTAAAAAGACGCTAACTATAAATCAACCCCACCCCCACCCCACCCCCAAAAAAATCTCACAAAGAAGGGGAGAAAATGGGAAAAATTAATAGATTTAGTAACTAACCTGCAGACGAAATTCTTCTAAATGTGGACAAGCCTCCAAAATAGGCACAACATTCAGTAGATCAGGTGGAGACTCATTCCTGGGACAAAATATAATGTCCTAAGATTGCTGAACATATCCATCTTTCCAGGTGTATATTTTAGCTGAATCAAGAGAAACAAAAAGCATGAATACCACTGCCAAGAATTGGACACAGAAAATGATGATTGCCATAGTCAATACAAACCTTGTCACTGTGTGTTTGGAATAATAAGTTTTTTAACTTAGGACAGTCCTTCAGAACTTCTCCAAAAAAATAAGGTATGGAACCATTGCCAGTGAAGGTGATGCGTGCATCTTCTAGTTTGGGAACACAGAGCGAAAACTTTATCGGGCCATTGTGAAAGAAAGAAAAAGTAATCAGGTTGCCAGCACAGATATCAATCTCCTCCAAACCAGGACAGGAATGAACATACAGAAACTTCAATTGGAGACACGGACCAGAGATAGAAAGCTTAGGAGTAAGTTTACAAAATCCGAGTCTAAGAGTCTGAAGGTTAACACAAGAAGACAACATTCTCGGTAATTCTCCATCACTCAGGTGAACCAAGTCTAAATAAAGGCCCTCAAGGGAATTAAATTGGGTAGGGAAACTTGGTTGCAAAGAACAAGCCAATAAGCGCAAATGTTTCATTGTAGCTACTGCAGTAAGAAGCTGAAATGAGACAGGGAAAAGCTCACCCATGTTGGATTTTGCACATTGACAAAGAGGCAAAGAAGAACAGATAAATTTGAGGTCAAGTTCCTGAACATCTAAAGTAGCTACAACCTGCATCCATTGAGTGAATTTGGGCTCAAATTTTTCATGAAACAGCATGAAATTCTCAAATAAGTTATGCTTTGACCTGAATAAAGCTGTAAAGACTGATCTACAGCTTCCAAAAACCTAAACTTTACCCAATGGCTACCCATATCGTGAGAGCAATTAGGCCTAAACATGTCAAGGCAATCTAGGTGGAGTTCAGACCTAACTTTGCAAACATTTTTCCACCTTCTTGACAAAATTCTTGTCCCAACAGCCTCTATCAAGTCCAAACGTGAAAGGACATCTGACAGCAAATCATCTGGCAGTCGACTGATACTATCCTCATTCGCAAGACCATCATCAGCCTGATTCAAAATTCCAAGCAGAACACAATGTACATGTTAGGAAAAAGAATCTATCAATACATCATACCCACTAGATAAACTAGCAAACATTATAATAACAAACTTTTTCTGATAAACAACTTATCCTTTCCAAAAATACACTTTCAAATTGCTTAACATAATAGAGCAACAATTGCTTCTTTTCCAGAGGAAAACAATAAGATTTAGCAGATATGATTACAAATGCATTACTATGGGGCTGTTTCGCTTGCTTTACATTTAACAAAAAGGTGTTTAATCAGAATTAGCAAAAGATACTCTTGGAAAGATTCAGGATTTCAGTTCTCAGTTCATTTGCCAATTACAAATAATCTAAAATGTAGACACAAAAGCAAACAAGAACATCAAAAGAACCGATGCTGGAAAATTAGAATCTAAAATCAGTTGAAAAGTCAAATGAGAACACCCCCCATTAACATAACAAGAGTGCCCTGCCACTTTTTCCAATGCTAATGTTTGATTACGTCTTTACCCACTGGAAATCTTCTTCCTTTCATTATTATTACAGAAAATACATCTCAATGTTCACGAAAAGACACCCAGATTCAACTTGAATAGTTACAGTCTCTCAAGAGTTAAACCAAACTGTAATCAAGTTAAAACTAAAGACAGTTAAACACAAGTCACCAGGTTTTTCATCAGAATCTTAAAACTGTTATTACAGTCTAAGAAAGAGCAATTGAAAGTTTATCCTAACTAATAATGGTGGGTCACTTGGTTTTTTTGACAACTCATACTTACCTGACATTTTATTGAGTCAAACTAAAACTCAATTTTCACAAAACTTCTCAATAAGCTCAATAAATTGGTCCCTACCAACCAAGTCTCTTTCAGTTTTTGAATGTATGTCCTATTATTACAGAATAGATTTTCTCTTCCATAATATGATTCCTTAAGCAGCGCCATACTATAACTGTCCAACAGCAGAACAAGCAAACATCTTTCTGAGGAAGCAAGACCTATCAATATTTGCCAACTCGTCTTTGTTTGAGGACTGCCTCAATTGAAAACTTGGGTCGGCTCATTTTCATAGGTGAGGTTTGCACATTGGACTTAATATCCATTTGCGCTCTAAACACCATATCTGTTTTTTTTTTCTCTTTGTACAAACAATAAAGAGGCTACTTCTAATGTAACGAATAAAACTAACATATATTGTGGCAAAGTGAGCTTCGAACATCATTGTGCTAATAATTTTTTCTTACAACTGTTTATTCTAGACTTGGATATATCCTAATATTCCCAATGTCTCAAGTTGAGTCATGGGAATGGCTTGTGAAACTTGGATACTTGGAACAATGGGGTGATAGGAAAATTACATAATCAATAGCAAGTAAACAGGTGGAACTGTGTTCATGTTTATTAATCAAAGTCTTCCATTCATTTTTAAAAAATGAGTTTCCTTAGAAAAGTATGAATATTATGTAGCTATTATTTGTCATATGCTTCTTATTATATTTCGTGATCAAACAATGCATAGCATATTGCTACCAAGTAAAACAAATAACTGAGAATAAGTACCTTATGAACAAAGTCTTGCTCGTGCTTTTCTTGCAAAACAATTGCTCTCCCCTGTCCACCAAAAGATTTAATTGCTTTCTGAATGGCCGCCCAGTTGCCGCCACGAGGATTGCAAAAGGAAGAGCTCTGTTTCCAAACCAGCACATTGTTGTTTGTTCCTGAAACAATAACGAAAAAGAACTTCTTACATATTGCCAGAATACTTCTATAGTACCTCTGCGGCCAACGGGATGCAATTTTCACATTTAATTTACAAGCTCAAATCCAAAAAAAAAAAAAAATAAAACTAAAAAATTTGATTTTCACTTGTTAATAGCAGTACTTATTAACAACTACTCCAAGCCCAAAAAAGAGAGAACGAAAGGAACTGCCTTTGCAATAACAATTACTTCATTTTGCTGTCTCCAACAGCAAAAACTAACAAAGATGCAATCTTTTGAACCAAAATAAAACAACAAAGATGCAACTTTTGCAAGATAATTTATTTCATTTTGCCGTCTCCAACAGAAAAACTAATAAAGATGCAATCTTTACATGTTAATTGGCATCATGGCTAAGATTAAGCAGCCCTGATAAGGGGAAAAAGGATAAAAGTATACAGGAAACAGCAAATATATGAATTTTACTTGTTAATAGGCAATACGGGATAACATAAAGCATCCCCTACCAGAAAGAAGATAAAACGAGAGAAAAGTACTTTAATTTCCCTTAACCATTTATAAATTACTAATAAATTTATTAGTAAATGCTGCATTTTTTTTGGATTTTTTTTTAGAAAAATTACTGTAACGTAACCATGTAGGTGAGGAAAAGAAATAATAGAAAAATGTGATCACAGACACAATTTTTTGACAAAAAATAACTGTCCAAACGGGGCCTAAATTACTCCCATAGTAATGCACCTTAACTAATAAAAATGTGAACTTGGCGAATATTGGTGCACGCATCACGCATTTTTAATATAGAGACAGAAGCACACGTGCACATATGAGTACTAGTAATATACACATAAGAGTAATTCATAATTTTGACTGCGACAAAAGTACTTATTATAACTTATGAAAAGTAATTCGTATCTTATTTACAAATTTTTAAAGCTTGTATCTTATTTATGAATTTTCGTTCTTCCCATTCTCTCTGTCTAAACTTTCCTTTTTTTACTTTTTCCACTATGTCTTGATTTATGTTTGAATATCAAAATTAGAGTTTTTAACAAATTGAATCGAATTGTATACTTGATGTTCAAACTTTGTTCATATATTAAATAAATAGAGTTTGAATTTGAATAAATATTAGACAAGTTATAAAAATTGCTCGAATTCGATTCATTAATTTGTACAAGTATTCAAGTTTGAATTTGAGCTGACTTGTTCAACGAGATGAGCCAAATTCGATCTCAAACTTGAATTTGAGTTATTAAGGTTTAAGGTAAGAAGCTTTGCTTTAGAATAAGCAAACAAATTACCTGCTGAATTTGGAGTCTCCTTCTTGGAATTTGGAGCAAGAAATATACTAACAACCAATTTTCAAGCTAGATTTTAGTAGCCTATATAATTTTTAACTCAATCTCCTGACCATGCAGGGTTGAGTAGGGGATTAGGGTGGGCATGGGGAGGAGGGAAGGTAAAATAAATAAAAAAATAAACATAAAAAAATAAAAAGAGTAAAATAACTATATATATATATATATAAAGCTACATATGTTGGCATAATTAATTTCCCAAGCCAGATGTATATCATGCAACTGTAACTCGCGACTGTAATCAATCATTAACTAATTGTTTGACAAATGAAAAGATTTGCATAAGTGATTGAATTTTGGGCTTTTTTTTTATAAACCCTTAACGTGTACAATTTTTTCATAGTACTATAACAAAGTAAAGTCAAATATTCCATTGCAAGAGGAGAAGCAAAGGTCATACACTCTCATCTTATATTTATTTTTTTTTTGAAAATGGCTACTATAGAGGTTGACAATCAGTCTTTAGGCCTCAACCAACAAGGTAATTTTAACTTGTGGTCACCATTTACCTTGCTGAGAAAAAAGAGGTGTTGAATTAGCAGACTTTCACACACTTTTCCCCATTGGAACGGCAAAGAAGGCTGTAGCAGCCATACATTATAGCGACACTGAAGCCAACAAACAGAGCAACGGAAGAATAAACAAGCAAACGGCGTTTGCACCGGCTAAACAAGCCCGGCTTTGGCCTAAAACTTTGATTATTCCTTGTTTAGCGACTTGAGAACCACCCTGCAGTTGATCGAACGGAGTTCCAGGCAATACCTGATTGAGTTGAGCCCTTTCGATCCGGTACAACTTGATGAAAGCAAGGTCCAAGGTGTCCTGATCGAGCTCTTCTTTTGA